CCCAATGTAGGGGGCCAGGTTCCATCCCTGATTGGGGAACTAGATCCCACATGTCGTAACCAAGAGTATGCATGCCGTAACTAAAGATTCCACATACAGCAGGGAAGATAGAAGATCCTGCATGCCTGAACTAAGACCCAGTGAAGCCAAAAAAAAAAAAAAAAATGTGGTCACTTGTTATTAGTTAGCACCTCTCTTCTGACATAGCCTACAGAGGGATCTGTGATCATCCAAGGAGGACTTCACAGAGGAGATGGCTTTGGTGCTGGTCTTTGAAGGCTGGGCAGCATTTCAACCATAGAGATGGAAAAAAGACACCATGAGCAGAGGAAACTGAGTGCAAAGTGTAAAGTCAAAGTGTAGGAGTGAGAGCGTGGAGGGCACTGGAATCATTACCTTCTAGTGGGATCTGTCATTCGCTTTCTTTTCCTCCTCAGGATCAGGGCTGGTGGGAGTTAAGGGGAATAATCAGAGGAGAGACTCTAGAATGAAGATTTGGGAGATGCTGGGAAGATAACTTGGAGGAGATGGGAGTTCAAATTCCAAAGAGCTCGGGTCGTTTGGGGAGGGTAGAAAAGGAGGGAGGGCGGGATTCAGAGGTCTGTTGGGGAGGTGTGGGAGGGAAAATGGTTGTCAGACTGGCCAGAGTGGGCTGTCCTGAGGAAGGAGGGGTAAGGCTTGGGAAGACGAACATGACTCACCTCTTCGAAGATAAAGAAAACCCACCAGGGAAGTCAGGCAGAAGATCAGATAAATTAAAGTCACAACAGGGACTTTCCAGACACCAGTCTCCAGCAGCCAATGCCATACTGGTAGGGGGAAGGAGCTATGAGATGAAGACCCCAGGCTGGCATCTTGCTTTTCAGCCTCAGTTCCTCAAAGTGCCGTAAGTCTGAGAGACCCTGGCCAGATACAGATCCTCAACATCCCAAGCTACACGGAGCGCTCTCTTCCCTTCCTCTGAGGACCCGGAAGCTCGCACAGGGCCTGCAGCGGCATCTATTAAGCAAACCATGGACAAACTATGACTGTCATCAGATGCTATGTTAGGATTTAGAGGAGCAAGATGATCAGCTTCCTGCTGCAGCTAAGAACAGCCATGGTCAGTGTGAAGGGCAGAGTGGAGTTCACAAGGTTAGAGGTGGGATGTGGCCATGTGCTGAGGTTAAGCTAGCAGGGAAAATTCAGACTGAGTATGAGAGCTGTGGTTGCAGTAGCACGGGAGGATTGAATGAAGGGAGACAGAATGGGCAGAACATTATGACCAATTTGATGGATGGGTAAGAAAAAAGGAAGGATGCCCAGGTTCCTGGCGTGGGCATGTGGGCAAGGTGTCCGTCACTTACACAGGGCCACCCCGAAGACTATGGAGCTTGATATTGTAAAGGTTGAGCTTGCAGTGTCCATGGGATATCAAATGGCAGTTCCAGGTGTTGGCTGGGTGTGGGGTGTGATGGAGCCTAAAATTGAGCCACAAGGCCTGGTGGCCTAAAGAGGCCTGGGAGTGAAGGAAGTCAAATAGGATTCGGGAGTGTAGACAGACACAAGAAGAGGACTCAGGGCTTCAACAGTGAGGCGTGAGGGAGGGAGGAAGACTCCCCCAAAGTCTATGGGAAAAAATAACCAGTGGTAGGAGAAGACAGGGAAAAGTGGGTGTCTTGGAAGCAAGGAGGAAAAGAGCGGGAGTTGGTGTTCAGTGTAGAAGTTGGAGTTTGGGATGATGAGGCTGGTACTGGGTCTCAGGTCAAGGGGCCAAGGTTGCCTAGCATCCAGTTCTTCCCTGTCCTCAGCCAGCCCTCCCTGCCCCAGCCACTCAGATGAGCCACAGTTGGGAGAAGCTCTACCTGACTGGGCGGTGACCTTCAGCTGCATCTGGGTGGTCTTGTTGCCATGGTTACAACGATAGGTGTCAGCATCTTGAGCCGTAGCCTCGGGCAGTAACAGAACCACCTTTCCCCCAAGGGTGCCCATGACCCACATCTCTCTGTGCTGGGCATTTTCGCTCAGGTTTAGGCTCAGCAATTTGACATCAGGCTTCATGGGATACTTGTGGATCCAGGAGACAGAGCCTCTGACGAGGGAGGTACGGGAGGCCCCACAGGACAGCAAGAGCGTGGAGCCCGGGGCCACAGTGAGGTCTGGGGCAGGGAGAGCCACGGCTAGGAAGGCGTAATCTTTGGGGTGGGGGGTCCTCCTCCCCTGCAGATCATCCAGGTCCCAGTCACCATCCCCCTGCTTCCTGGCATCCCCCCTCCCCCCGCCATCACCTTACCACGGTTGTTGCTCTGGTTCAATGTGCTATTAGATGGAGCACAGGCCGCTTCTGGGTGTGAGATCTCCTTAAAGTGGTCCCAGCCCCACACATGCAGCTGGGACTTTGTGAGGTGACCAGAAGAGGGCCTGGGGCCCGTTGAGGTTCTGTTCCCTGAGTCACAGCCTAGGTCATTGAGGTCTGAAGCATTCCACCGGAACAGTTTCCCTGGGAAGATACCCAGAACCAGAATACAGAGACCTCCAGGAGAGGAAGAGAGATACAGAGACCCAGAAAGGCAGAGGCAAAGACCCAGAGAGAGACAGAGAGACAGCAACTCAGAGAAAAGAGTGAAAGACATAGAGCCATGGCGCTGACGTCATAAAGCCACAGGGGTTTTTAGAAGCCACCTAAAACTAGCTTCCAGCTTGTCCCGCGGCCCCTCCGGCCCCTCCCTCTGGATTCATTTCAGCCGCTGGACCTCCTCCATCTCTGGTGGGCCTCCCTCTTCTCACCCAGCCCTCCCTGCCCCAGCCCGGACCTCACCGCTGCCCTTTACGCTGACCGTCCAGCCGGGCTGCCAGCCCTGCTCAGAAGGCGGGCCTGGCTGGCACAGGTAGAAGCCCCCCATATGTTTGGAGACATTGAAGAGAAACAGCAGGGTTCCCTGGGGCTCCTTCAGGGTGCCCAGAGGCCCCACATGGATGCCCAGGCCTGGTAACCCCAGGCTCAGCTCTAAGAAGGGTTTTAATTGGGAGCCCCGAAACCAGGCCAGGTGTTCGGGGGGACCATCCGAGGAACCTTCAAGGCATGGCAGCACAGCATTGCCTCCCTCTGTGGAGAGAGAGAGAGAGAGGGGGACGGGGTGGGGTGGGTGGGTGGAAGCGGGGAGGAAGGAACCCCTAGGCCCCTTCACTCCTCACACTGGGTGAGGAGCCCCCAACCCCACAGCCAGGAGTGGATGAGTCCTCAGCGTCCTTCCAATCCCGCCCTGGATTTTACAGATAACAAAATGGAGGCTCAGAGAGGGAAAGTGACTCGGCCAAGGGCACCCAGCCGGAACCCAGATTTCCAGCCCTTCCATCCACCTCTGCCCTCCAGACATACCTTTAGCCTCCACTAGGCGTGGATCCTCAGGCCTGACTCCCATAGGGGTAAGGAAGAGGAGGAAGAGGAGAGGAGGTGGCATGGTGGCCAGACTCCCCGGGGCGCCCAGCTTCGCCGCGCGGGGGATGCTGGGGCAGGCGGGGACCCGGTGGGCACTGAAGCATGGGCGTCTGTGGGGGCGGGCGGGCAGTCCCCCCGGAGAGGAAGGGGTGGTCACGCCTCAGGCCCTGTCTCCATGCACCCCTCCAGAACCACAAAACTCACCTCCTCCCTGCTACCCCGTTTTATTTTCATCTCAGCGCTTACCACCATGTGAATGACCTTGTCTGTGTGTTTCCTTATTTGATCGCTTTCTGTCCCCCACCCCCCTAGAATGTAAGCCTCTTGTGGCAGAGATTGTTCGGTTCAGACTGCACACACGGTGCCCCAGAACAGGGCTTGGCATGCTGTAGTTGCCCAAGGAATATTTGTTGAATGAGTGGGTTCAGACTCCTTCCTTCTCCCCCTCCTCCCTTCTTCAACCTCAAGCTCTGAATGCGTTTCCTTTCACACACACACACACCACCCTGCTTCATTCATTCAACCAATATCTCTTGGGCCTTCTTCCACCTCTGTACCATCAGCCCATCACACATAAGGTGGGATCCGGCAGACCTGAGTTTGAATCCTCTGCCTTTGCCGCTTGGCTAAATGTCTTCATCTTTCTAAGCCTGAGCTTCATTCTCTTTATCAACTAGGGATAATAATAGTAGTATCCAAAAATTGTTTGTGGAGATTAAACTGGATGATATACATACAGCATTTGTAGCCCATCACAGCACATAGCAAGCAAGCCCTCTTTGTCCGTGAAAGACGGGGTCCATTAAGAGCTAAGGGTTCACATGTAAATCCATGGCTAATTCATTTCAATGTATGGCAAAAACCACTGCAATGATGTAAAGTAATTAGCATCCAACTAATAAAAATAAATGGAAAAAAAAAAAAGAGCTAAGGGTTCAAGTCATTTTGCCACTGGGGCTTCTTTGCAGAGGTCCTGAGAAATAACTGATGGTTAATGCCCCTTTGTCTCCAGATCTCCCCCCATGAAGCCCCTGCTTCAGTTATGGGAGGAACCCATTCAGAAATGGGAGGGCATTTCTGAGGCCCCCCAAAGGGCAGGGTTGTCTAAGAGCACACATTCCGCTGGTGGTATAATTAGACATCAGAACGCAGGAGTCCTGACTCTTAAACCTTTACTCTGCCTCACACAACCCCTGTCTCCTCCCACCCTGCTTTTCCTCTCTCTCTCACCTCGCCCCACCCCGCATGTGAAGCTCTATGTCTGTCACTGCTGCAGTCACGCAGGGAAAAGGGCCAGGGACCCAGGAGACCAGCTCTCTTGGTTGCTGGTTCCCAGGCCCGTCTCACTGGGCTGTGGCTTCCTGTTTGCCTGAGTCGAACCTCAGGGGACCCTCCCGCTGCCAGGGCCCCCACTTCCCTTTGGTCGGGTTGGGGTGGCTGCAGGGGAAAGACTGGGGCATTGGGAGAATGGAGGGGGCGAGGGAGCAGGACCCCGTGTGCCTTTCATTCAACAGAATCTCTCTAATCCCTTCACTGGCTACTCAGCTGCCTCACACGCCAAGTCTTCTTGCTAAAGCATGTCAGCCCCCTGCTTAGAACATTCCAACGACGGTCATCTGCCTAAAGTCAACATTCCAAACTACGGCCTCCAAAGGTCTGAGTGAGGCTACCCGTGACTACATTTGCTGTCTCAACCCTCTGCCAGTCTGCCCCCACTCAGGGCCTCTGCATTTGCTGCTCTTCTTCCTGGATTGACACTCGGCTCTGCGCTCCACTGGCTCCTTTCCATCACTCAAGTCTCAGTTCAAACGTTACTTCCTCACAGAGACCTTCCCTGACACCCCAGGTACTTTTTTTTTTTTAATTATTTATTTGGCTGAGCTGGGTCTTAGATGCTGCATGTGGGATCTTTTGTTTCGGCATGCCAACTCTTAGTTGCAGCATGTGGGATCTAGTAATAGTTCCCTGTCCAGGGATCGAACCCAAGGCCCCTGCATTGGGAGCACGGAATCTTAGCCACTGGACCGCCAGGGAAGTCCCACCCCTGGGACTTTTAATTTCACACCTCTGTTTTATTTCCTTCCGGGCATTTGCCCCAGTCCCAAAGTCTGCTTGATTATTTTTCAAGTCTTCTCATTGGCCTCCTGCCCTAGATTACTCACTCTGCTACAACAAGGGTCTTTACTGCCTGGTTCACTGACATCCAGAAGGTGCTCATTAAGTGTTGGTTGTGTAAAGGAAGGAAGTTAGTTATGGTCACCAAAGGGAAAAGGGAGGGGGGTTATACACTAGGAGTATGGGATTAACGGGTACAGACTGCTATACAAAAAATTGGTAAGAAACAAGGATTTACTGTATAACTCAGGAAACTCTATTCAAAATCTTGTAATAACCTATAATGCAAAATAATTTGAAAAAAAAAATGTATGTAATTGAATCACTTTGCCATACACCTGAAACTAACACAGTATTGTAAATCAATTATAAAAAAATTAAAAATAAAAAGGAAAGGAAGTTAGGAAGAGTGACAGAAAGCTTTTCTCTTTCCCCCATGTACAAAGTCACCAAAGTTAGTCCATTTCTGATCTTTAATAATTCTAGTGTCAATTTTCCCCTATTTTGGACTCTACTCAACCAGAACAATTTCAACAGCTTCATTTTTTAAAAAAATATTCATTTATTTGACTGCTTCAGGTCTTAATTGCAGCACATGGGATCTAGTCCCCTGACCAGGACTTGAATCCCAGCTCCCTGCATTGGGAGCTTGGAGTCTTAGCCACTGGACCACCAGGAAAGTCCCTCAATAGCTTCTCCTTTGGGCTCTCTGTCCTCTCCCTTTTACTTCCCATCCACATTGCTCACAGAGAAATTTTCCTTGGGATCAGCCATGTGCTTCCCCTGCTCAACAGCCTTCAATGACTCCCAGGGTCTCAGGTTAAAATCCAAACCTGATAGTTGACTGACTTACAGGCATCATTTCATGCTCTCATTTCATGCCTTTCCCAAGAAACCCTGCTGCATATACAGGGAGTCTGGACTTTATTCTGAGGACAAGTGGCTCTTGGGGATTTGTAAGCTAGGAGTTGACATGGTCAGATTTATATTTTCTAAAACTCTCCTTGCTGCAGTGGCAGAGGAGGAGGTTAGAGGGAGTCCAGAGAGATCAGAAAGGGAAGTGTTCATTCATTCATTTACCAAATATTTTCTATTTTAAGTGTTACGGTTTATTTATTATTATTATTTTGGCTGTGCTGGCTTTCTTTAGATGTGGATCTCGGACTTCTCATTGCAGTGGCTTCTCTTGTTTTGGAGCATGGACCCTAGGGCGAGCAGGCTTCAGTAGTTGCACCACCTGGGTTTTAGCAATTGTGGCACACGGGCTGAGTTGTGCCACAGCATGTGAAGTCTTCCCAGACTAGGGATGGAATCCATGTCCCCTGAAAGGTAAGGCAGCTTCTTAACTACCAGACCACCAGGGAAGTCCTGTTTACTACTGTTTATTTACTGGACACTGCTTGTGCTGGGAAAATAACAGGGGACAAGAAAGACAAGATTCCTAATCTCATGGAGCTCTGATTCAAGTCCTGGGGCCACAGAAGGCTAAAGGGGGCCAGGTAATAAAGTTAACCAATAAACAATTGTTTATTATTAACCAATAAACAAATGGTGAGACGTCTCTCTAACATAATCTAATGGTGGACAGGTTATTGAGCTGGTGGTGACTTTAGACAGCGTGGTCAGGGAAGGCTTCACTGAAAAGGTGACTTTTTAAAAAAATTTATTTTTACTTTCGATTGTATCGACTTTTCATTGCCATGTGCATGCAGGCTTTCTCTAGTCTCCAAGAGTGAGGGTTACTCTCTAGCTGCAGTGTGTGGGCTTCTCATTAAGGTGGATTCTCTTGTGGAGTACAGGCTCTAGGCAGTTGGGTTTCAGTAGCTGCAGTATGTGGGCTCAGTAGTTGTGGCTCATAGGTATAGTTGCTCTGGTCTGTGGTATCCTCCAGGAACAGGAATCAAAACTGTGTTCCCTGCATTGACAGGCGGACTCTTATCCACTGCACCCCCAGGGAGGTCCCAGGAGGTGACTTCTGAGCCAAGACCTGGGGTGGAGAAAAGCTTGGTGTGTTTAAGTAAGGTCATGTTTAGTCTCTAAAAAAACTGTTATACCCTTCCACAAAGCTGCTATACCATTTTACATTCCCATCAGGAGTACTTGAGAAATTCAGTTTCTCCATCTATTCACCAGCATTTGGTGTTATTACTCTTTTTAAATTTTAGCCATCCTGGTAGGTGTGCAAATAGGAAATTTGAACTTCTCTAATGGTTAATGAGGTTGAGTACCTTTTTTCATGCTCTATTTGCCATCTACATCAGTGAAACTCGTGTCCTTTGCCCATTTTAAAATGGATTGAACCAGATTTTAAGCGGGGATGAGACAAGATCTGTTTTACAAAGATCACTCTAACTGCTTTGGGAATTAACTAAGGGGACCAAACGGTAACACAGGCGGAGCAGGAGGCAGATGATGGGGACTGAGGCTGGGTGTCAGCGCTGAAGATGCAGAAATAAGGACCCATTCAGGAATATTCAGTCCTTTGGAGGTAGAGCTTGAAAGACTTGCAGGCTCCTGGAATGTACTTTACAGAAGGAGAAGCAGGTTTGGGAGAAGGGGAATCAAGACTCTAGACTTAAGTCTGAGTTGCCTGTCACTGACTAGGGGAGATCTCAGGTCGGCTGTTGGAGGGAGAGGTCACAGATAATGAGGGCTTGACCTAGGCAGTGGCCGACAGAGGAAAGGAGGGATTTGAGCGGCCTGGGAGGGGAAGATTAGCAGGAAGTGGTGACTGGCTGAATATCAAACTGGGGTTGGGACATGGAAGTTTCTGACTTCCACGACTGACGACGCGGGGGCCCAGGCGCCCAGAGAAGTGAAGTCGACCCAGCAGCCCTGCCCCGAGGGACGCTCCACGAAAGCGGAGGTGCAGGGAGGCTCGACCACAATTCGTTGTAACCTGAGCCAAGCTCCGGCG